GACATTTTTACGCATATATTATGTCCCAGTATTTATGATCATGTATTATTCGGATATGTATGCATGTATTTTCTGTATTTCGGATGCTTCCGCTAGCAGACTACACAGTGCTAGACAGTTCAGACATTGCATGTTTAATTCCATTATCCATAGCGGATAGTTTGGTTGCGTGTTTTACGTATGTCTGTGAGCAAGTTAAGTATGTTTTTATCTGTGACATCCCGCAACCAGTTAGTATTTTCGAAAACCAAGCTCGCGCGGCCTTTCGAAAATAAAAGCGAAAATTTTACTCTGATTTTCAAAGCTAGTAAGGCGGGGTGTGACCGCAGCTGGTATCTGAGCGCATAGTGCGTTTCTGTATACTTTCAAAGTTAGAAAAGCATGACCACGCCACGCTCATCCCGCACCAACTCCGAGGTAAGTCACCTGACTCAGTTTAAGTTTTGCAAGTGCTAAATTCAGTTCAAGTATGGGGCCTAGATAACTATCCTCCTATAAGAAAAAGAACTCTAGAGGGAGAACTCTAGAAAGTAAAGCTAAGACCAGAATTCTAGACAGAACTCTAGAAAGATCTAAGTCCAAGGACTCTAGATTAAGTCAGAACTCTAGCCAGAACCAACCAGAATTGAGTTAAATTATAACTCTAAAGATTGTCTTATATCGAATTTGGCAAGTGCCTTAAAAGCAAGATTATGTAGTAACAGATTCAGCGTATAAGAGTCACTATGTCGGGATACCATGACGGCTTGAAATAAGAGTCACTATGTCGGGTATATCATGACAGCTTGAAATAAGAGTCATTATTCCGGGTTACCATGGAGGCTTGAAATAAGAGCCACTTAGCCGGGGACACCATGGAGGCTTGAAGTTGGACCAGAGCAGTATAATTTTAGAAAGTAAGAACCTTTAGAGTCAGTAAGTCGGGTATCATACCAATTAGATACTCTAAACAGTAGTTGGCAAAGTTTGAGGTCAATTATTTTGTATCGTACTTGCGGGACCAGTTGATACTAGAACTGCCCGACATAGTACATAGTCAGAAGCCAACGTTCATGAGTTTAAGGTCAGCGTATAATAGTTACTAGCCGGGTTATATATGGAGATCTGAAGTGCAGATCATTAGTCCAAATTTACCTGGATACTTGAAGTCGAACCTTATCAGACCACAAGAGCTTACAGTATATCTTCACTCAGAAGGAGCTCAACATGCGCCAAAGGCCATGGTTGGAGCTAGTAAAGGATTATGACTGTACCATTATCTATCATCCGGGCAAGGTGAACGTAGTTGC